CAAACAAACAAACAAACAAACAAACAAACAAACAAACAAACAAACAAACAAACAAACAAACAAACAAACAAACAAACAAACCAAAAAGGCGGCAGCAGGGTTGGAAGAGAGGAAGTCAAATGCTACCAAGACCTGCATGCTGACAAGGCAGGCATAACAGTGGCATTTCCTACTGGAGATGGAAAAAGTATGAATAAGGATGAGCTTGATTTTTACCAGGCAAAGCTTGAGTTGCGTCAAGACTACTATCAGCAGGGTCAGAGACAGCAAGGTAGTTCCAAGTCATCTGTTTAATTATAGGTAAGTCTCACTTAGGGATGGGAGTAGGAGGAAGACTAGAAGGCTGGGGTCTGATCTTGGGGAGAAGGTAACAAGAGTGGGAGCAGCAGTGCCCAGAAAAGAAAGAGAAGAACAAGCTTGGAATCTGTGGTGCCAGCAGGACAAGGGTCTGTAGGAAGCTGGAGAGGAGTTTGGTCAACTTGCCAAGAGCAACAGGCAGAGCGAGAGGGCTAATGAAAGGTGGCTTTGTAAAAGGAAGGAACTTACCAGGGATCTGGGTTAAAGGCAGTTTCACTTGTATGGGATAGCTGGTGTCAGTTCAGAGGAAAGGGGGAACAGAATAAAAAAAAAAGAAGTAGACAGAAGGGAGTTAGAAGGGGGCAAGAGTGAGCAGGGAAAGGATGGAAATGGTCCAGGATCTGGAAAAGGAGCTCAGATTGAGAGGTCTCTTTTGGGATAAGCAAAACCATGGCTTGACAGAGGAGGGAAAGGACCAAGAAGGGAGGAAAGAAAAAGAGTGTTCAGAGGAGATGGGGCATCTGCAGACAGCTCAGCTCCATGCCTCTGCTCCCACCTGCAGACTCCAATCAGAGGTCAACCACACACAACCGTGCCCATGGCACCTGCTCTCAGTTCTCCACTCACCAGTTCTTACGCCAGAACGAGATGTCAGCATGAGTTTCTGAGCTCCTCTCTCAATAAGCCACTGTGCCAATTCCAGCCCAAATCCACCAAGGCCCCCTGTGATGATGTAAGATTTGGTAGGTGGGCAAAAAGTGCGGGAGATGGCAGGGAGTTGGGCTAGCACGGAATCACTTGCAGGGAAGTCCTTCTCCTCTTCCCGGACCTTCCAACAACATCACAGGTAACAAAATCAGGCAGGTGTACATACCCTACTTCTCCTCCCACAGAAGTTATGCTCCTATTGCACATCAAACCTCTTTGGACCCAGGTCACAGAGCTATAGAATCTTACGTGTCAACTGGCTGAGGTGGCAAGATGGTTAATTAATTAACCCCAGTAATTACAAAGATCCCTTCTCTCCTACACCACAGATACAGTATTCTCATTAGGGAACCTCACCCTCTGTGCATGGCTGTTAGATACAGAACAGTGGGGCCTGTTTTTTTTGGTAGACATGCCACAAATTATCCATGCGCCCTCCACAGCTGCCACTCAGCCCTTTCCCTTGATCTGCTGCTCTGCTCCTTTCCTTATCTGCCATCATGCACCTCTCCCCTCCCCAATCTGCTGTGCGCTCCACGCACACATTGCCTATGCCACTTGTGGCAGTTTGGCCACTCCTATAGTAGAAAACCCAAAGCCTACAGTTTTCTTGTTACCTTAACCATAACTTTGCCAATGTGTTTTCCTTGTGCCATGAACCTAAAGGCAGCTTCCAACTCCTCTTTGCCAAAGACAGTGCGCTTCAAGGGTTTCACTATGCCATCTCTTATCCCCTTCTTCACCAATTCATTCACTTCTAACCACGCAGGGTTTTCCTTCGTCAAAACAGCATCTAGCAGGATCCCATGGAACGTCACATTCTTCAGGAAGAGAGCCATTCCTGTAAGAGGCACATGATTAGCCATACCAGTTATTGCTGTTCTCTCAAATCTTTTGGGCCTCCAAAAGCATGCAGACATTTCCATGCAAGTCAATGGCTTAAGAGTGAGAGGAGCAATTGCTAGGCTTCAGGA